TCGTCGTCGTCGTCGTCATGGTGGTGTTGTTGTGGTGGTGGTATTCGGAGTCAGAGTGGGAGTCGCAGTCGCAGTAGAAGGAGTAGGAGGAGCAGCAGCAGCAGGAGCAGGAACAAGAGTGCTGTGGTTTGGTGATGTTGGTGGTGGCGATGGCAGCGGTGGTGGCGGCGGTGGTGACTGTGGTGCATCCTTATGTACGCGTATAGTTTCATGATTCTTCATGTATGTGACTGTAGGTGCATTCCAGGTGTATAGCTGTATCTGTATTTGTGTTTATATCTGTGTCAGTATATCTATATCCATAGATCTTCGTCTATAGTCTGTAGCCAACTATACTTATAACTTATAACTATATGATATATGTGTGTGTTTCTGTTTGTCTAGCATGTGTGTGTGTGTGTATATATTTATTTATTTATTTAGATGTATATACATGACACCCTGCAAATACCAAGTTCCATACCGGCATATCGAGCTACGTAGATCACGGCTCAGGGAATCACACTCTTGCGATCTGGGCATTATACCGTCGTACTTCGAGTTCAAGGTGTTTGGGCCTCAGGGTGCGCTAAACCCTTGACCACTAAACTTCCCCATGTTCAGGGCCTCAGTCCCCTACACAAACCCTAAACTCTAAACCCGAAACCCCAAACCCTAAACACTAAATAAACCCTAAAGTGCAGGGCTCAGGCTCGAAAAGGCCTCGGGGAGGGGCAAATCAATGGCGCAAACCTCCTGCGACGCGCTACCTCCAACCCCAAACTGTCAAGTCCACCCTCTAAGGTTCAAAGCTTTACAATATATCATATAGATGAGGGAGTCGAGTTTCGTTTGTAGTGGAACTTTCTGTTCCAAATACCTTGGAATCCGAAACATGTTGCTTCGATGAGGTGCTCTCTTGCGGGACTAGCGGTTGGCGTTGGCCTGGCGTCTTTGTCCAACTTCGCTGTCGAGAGGCACCATCAGATTGTACGAGTTTGGACCCTGGACCCTAAGCTCTAAATCGGTCTGTAGCCGTAACCTATGGCCAGTCCCGAATCCCAGGAACCATGCACCGAACACCAACCCTTGATTCCTACCGCAAACCGAAGGCCCGAATGCAGAGAGTTGCGTTTTGGGCTTTGCATGATTTCAATGTCGGGTCAGGGTGTAGGAGGTGTGCTGGGAGGTTGCTCTCTGTATTTTCGGATATAACCCCTAAGCCCTAAGCCCTAAACCCTAAATTTACGTATCAGGGTTTGCCATGTTTTGTGTAGCATGCCCCAGTTCTTCACGTTGCGCTTGCCAGCAGTGGGTGGATTTGCGATACTGCTAAAGAAATCGGCGTGACTTCTTTTGGACAAGCCGAGCGGCCTTCTCATGTGGGACATTTTAGGGTTTAGAGTCTTGAACAATTTCGCAGGTTGGGGCAATGTACGGGCTTTAATTTTGGCGGGGGGGGCAGCTGCCAGCCTTCCAGAAGCATTGCACACAGCTGTCCAAAACATCACTGCATGCACAGGTTGCACTTTTCTCAAGTTGACCTCCAACCGCCATAGCACATGGGCATGCATGCGAGGCCCCATTTTGTTGATCGATCTGTCTTGAACTGCTACATGCCTCTTTGAAAGCCTCATAAACTACTGGGGTGCGTCGCAAACTCGCATGGCAGCATGGTACCTTCGTCTACTTTCTGGGCAATTGCATGTGTTTTGGAATGCTCACTGGCTAAAACCGGCGAGGGATTGAAAGGATCACACTGCACCGCCATAAGCACCAGAAATGCGCTCATAATTAAGTCTCGGCATTGCTACGAGTCCGGTTTAACCTCCAGTGCATTAGAAGCCAAATATACCTGGAAGTATTCCCTTCCATGCCGCCAACGATGCCTACTATAGCCCCTGAACCCCACCTTGAAACAGAAATGCCGAAACCCTAAACCCTAACAAATCCCGAAACCCTAAATCCTAAGCCCCATACACCCCTAAACCCCTAAACCCCGAACCCTAAACCCTGAAACCCCAAGCTTACGCTAAAAGACCCCAGTCCCTGAAGCATGTCTAAGACCTGAGCCCCGAATCCCCAGGCGCTCTCAACCCAGCACCCTCGAACCTGGTTTAGGGTTTAAGGTTTTTAGGGGTTTAAGGTTAAGGGGTTTAAGGTTTAGGGTTTAAGGGTTTAGCGTTTAGGTGTTTAGGGGTTTCAGGGTTTAGGGGTTCAGGGTTTTGGGTTCCTCAAGGCCCCATACCTGAAGGATGAAACCCTCAGGGCTTATTGCGCCAAACGAACAGGAAAACCCTAAACCCTAAACCCTAAACCCTAAACCCTAAACCGTGGAACCGCTTGTAACACGAATCCCTGGAGCTCCTTGTCAGAACTTTGTCAGAAGATTCCCCCCAAACCGCATTCTAACCACTAGCCCCTTCTATAGTACCCCTTATAGAACCTTTTTACAGGAACCCTAGTTGAATTAGTAAGGCCCCCATAACGGCGGTCGGAACAATTACCAGCAGTATTCTTGAGGGTTCCTGAATATGGCCAGGCTATAATAAACCCGCAACCCTTTGCTAACTAGTAGGGCCCCTGTATTCCACCAGGTTAAGGAGACTCGAGAAACTCTACGCGACTCGGCATAATCTTCCAACAGGCTCTTGACGTTGGGGTCTTGGGTAGGACGGCCGCGGCCTCTGCTTCAGGTGCGGATATTCAGGATTCAAAGGTCTGGCGCAAGCGAAAACCATGTTTGTGGCTAAGGCACGAAAGCTTCTTGCAGTTCCCATCAAGTCTAGACTCTAAACCCTGTAGGGTTTAGGGCTTCCGGGTGCTGATTCCAGAGGCTCTTACGACTCACGGTTGAGTTTTAGGTTACGACTCTAGTTTAGTATCTTAGCCGGTCGAAAACTCAGGCTCTCGAATTTACGTACAAGTAGGGGTGAAGCCCAAGCGATGCTAAATATTCCTTGTCTGTAGTGAGACTTCAGGTTACTCTGTACAGCCGGAACAAACCCTTACACTCTAGACTCCATAAACCCTAATCCCATGCCCCCGAGGGTCTTGCTGGTGTAGGCATCGCATGGCATCTTGACGGATCTGCATTCTTAGAGTCTTCCACCGGCTTCGCACGGCGTTGACATGGCGTTGTAAGGAATGTTTGCATGGATCTGGGTTTGGGTTTTAGGGTTTAGGGTTTAGGGTTTAGGGTTTAGGGTTGGCTGTAGCGCATCGCAACAGGTTGTCCCTGATGAATCTCCGCACCTCTGTAGGCTCGACCATGAGCGGTAAGGCAGAACGACGTGCTCGCCAGCACTTCCTAGAGTCTTCCGTCTTCCTGACTGAAAAGGTGTATAACAGTGAATCTGCTGGATAAGAAATGCCAGCTTCCACTGTTGGGCACCCTTCATAGCTTCCTTTCACTTTCAGATTTCCGCATTTCTCACCGAATCGTTGGGTACCCTTCATTTCTTAACCACTTCTTAGCCGGGGCTCGAGCCCCTGGAGGTCCATGCACTGAGCCAAAGGCCTTATAGGTTTGGGGTTTAGGGTTTAGGGTTATAGCCATTAGGCCATACAGACACCGCCAAGACAGTGTTATAGTACACTTTAATCTTTAGTGTCTAGAGGCAGCTGCCTTTGGACCCGGCTCTGTAGTGAGCCACGCCCTTCATGGCACGGCAGCTGACATTCCACAGTTGTGGAGCTAGGTTACGCCTCGGCGGTCGCTCGCTCACGCTTCAAAGTGGTCCTGCTGGTGCTCAAGTGCTACAGGCGCCGTGTCGTTTCTGCTCGAAGGTTTTCACTGTGAGGTCTCCAGCTGAGGAGGCGGTGGATGTGGGGTGTCCAGCTGAGGAAGCTCCGGGCGTGAGGTCACCAGCTGAAGAAGCTGAGGATTGTGATTTCTCCAGCTCAGGAAGCTGTTCAGAAGAAGGTGGTCGAAAGCGAAAGCCCCCCCCCCCCCCCCCCCATTTTGGCCTCTGCCCCATGCCCTAGAGTTAGGACCTGGAAAACCCCCGACATAAGAAACTTAGCGCCCTACATTTCTTATTTTGGCCTCTGCCCCATGCCCTAGGGTTAGGACCTGGAAAACCCCGAAATAAAAAACGTAGCCCCCTACATTTCTTGTTTTGGCCTCTGCCCCATGCCCTAGGGTTAGGACCTGGAAAACTCCGAAATAAGAGATGATCCCAAAACTTTGGGATACTTTGGGTACCCTTAATTTCTTGGCTAGAAGGCATTTTAAGTTTTCGGCTTTTGGGTGCTATCCGGCTGACGTAGCCCCTACAGGGCTTTGGGGCATTTGTGGTCATGCACCATTCATAAGTTCATAAGTGTTGATGTGCGTAGGCACATCACTCAAGCATCGCTTGTATGCCACATTATGGTGCAAGACACGTTTAGACGAGGTCCAGTTTCGGGCATGGCTTCCCTTCAGATGTCCCGTGTTTTCGTCTAGCATCTTCGACCCGACCCGGATCATGCTTCTTCTTCTTCTTCCGATATACACAAGGCCCTAAACCGTCCCAAACCCAAAACAGCATCCCGCACCCCAAACCCCAAAACATAATCCTGAACCGTAAACGCTAAGGATGTGGAGAAGCGCCGGTACGATCGGCAGTTGAAGCAGTTGCGGCCAGGTTCCAAGGTTTCGGATGGTTTAGGGTAAAGTTTAGGGGTTCTGGGTTTAGGATTGAAGGCCAGTGATGCAGAGATTCGAAGTTGCAGCCGGCCTTGAAGTTTTCGTTTACTTTGGGCCATCGTGTTCGGACGTGAGTTCTCAGGAGCTTAGGTGCGCAGTCTGCGGTGGTGAAGGTGGCCGGCGGCAGTAAGCAGGATAAAGCAGGTATCGTCCAGTCGGCAATAGATCTGAGACGAGCCCTTTAGCTGCCGACCGCCTGTCTTGGTATGATGCACCAGGAGCAATGACAAGAATCTCCTTCATGAAGCACAGGAGCTTCAACCATAAGTGTTACTAATTTTGCAGGTTCCCTCTACAATTTCATAACAAGGTATCCCCAAACCCTGTCGTAGATGTTCAAGCACTTCTTTTGCCAGTTAGCGGTCTTGGTTCGGGCTGCGAGTTCTTGGAGCCATTTGTGGATATCGAGTTATTCTTGTATTTCTGCGCTCCTCGTGTGTCAGATCCCAAACCTTAAAACTGAAACCAGCATGTGTCTTCAACTATATTTTGAGTCTAAGGTTTAGGGCTTAGGGTTTAGGGTTTAGGGCCGTTTCGTTTGGAGCAGACAGCTTGAGCCATCCAAGCCCTTAGCATTTGGCGTGGCTCGCAGCCGAGGCTGGCAGGAAATCCTCCAAGTCGAAGCCCAGAAAACCAAGCACAACTCCAGGCCCTACATCCTGCGCTCTACGACCTCACAGAACCCTAAACCCCGAGCGTTGAAGCATCGAAGCCTTCAAGAATCGAAACCAGGAGCACCCGAAGCTGCACTGCAAGAAGCCCAAATAATGGACCCGGAAGTCTGCAGCCGAGAGAAATCTCAAGCAAAAGCACAAGAAGCTAGCTAAGCATGCCGGTGCAGGGGGGCCATGGAACATAGGTATTGTCAAAGTCGAAGTCTTTCTGATTACGGCGGCCCCGACACTGCACTGCAGCGTTCCCCAGCCCTACCTTCAGATGCCCGGCAGACAGGTCGTGCAGCCTCACGACATCCTTAGACACTTTCGATGTCTCAGCGCGCAGGCTCGTGTCTAAGCCATCCTCGGATTCTTCTTGGTGGTTTAGACATGGCCTTTCGGATGAAGTACGCCTCTGAAACTCAGGTTTCAAGCTTCTTGGGACTTGCAGTCTTAACGGTCCAGCGGGTTTCGGGTTCAGGGTTGTGCTGTCGGCCCGAGGCTAGCAGCTGTTCTTTTGTAGTAGTAGGGAGACTCCTGAAAGTAGACCCTTCTTAACCCTACTTCTGGCTCGTTAAAAGGGACTTTATTAAGAGGGTCTATATCCCCAAGCGTCCTTCTTAATCCTACATCTTAAGCTAATATGAGACAAGCCCAGAAACCAACAGAGTCGAATAGGCTGATGCAGAACAGCCCCGCAGAAATTCCGCTAAACCCTACACCCCCAAACTCCGAGAATCACCCTAAACCCTAAACCCACACCCCCCCTTAAACCCTAGATCCGAAGCCCACACCCCCAAACCCCAAGAATATCCCTAAGCCCCAAACGAAGAAACAACGGGGGTCCTGACCCGAAGAGACCGTAAATCGTTCTCCGACAAAGCCCCTATGTTAAGTCATCAAGACCCCGGTAGCTTGAATCTCCCGAACCTCAGACCTCCATACTTAAAGCTCAGACCTTAACTCTTAAAGACACCTTACTGAAGCTCTAAACCCAAAGCCCCCCTAACAACGCTAAAAGCCGCGAAACAGCGCCAAATGCCTTGGGAGCCCTAAAGCACTAATATCGGGGCCTATGTAATTACCAACATTATTTTGGGGGGTCTATCTTGGGGGGAGTCTTATTATGGTTATAATATAATGGATCCCAAAACCCTATTCTGATGACTAAGGCCCCTACATTGTACAGCCCTTATAATGTCCCTGATTTATGGTAACTCGTTGAAGGAAGCCTGTTTTAATGATTAAGGCACCTGTATTCGAGCCCTAGAGCACCGAAAGCTCCCAGGCTGCTATGGCGAGATCAGAGCGGCATAGCGGAGGCTCGGGGCCTCCTTTAAAGTTTGACGGGTTAAATCTATGTCTCCCAATGGGCCCTTATTCCCTTTTTGAAGTCTTAGGGTTCCTTATAACCCTAGACCCTAAACCCTAAACCCAGATAGCCAATACCAGAAAGGGAGCCCCCTTTTTCATCCTAGGGCACTGGGCATCCGAAAAATAGAGGGGCCTCAGTAGGTACCTATACTGTTTTGGGAGGTTCCTTGTTATGGTTGTAGGATAATAGACCGTTAGGGGAGAATGCTTGGGTTTGTAGGTTTTCGGGCGTGAAGTTCGTTTTTTTTTGGTTTGGGCTTGGGGTGGCAGGAGCTATAAGTGGATCGACATCGAGGAAACGGAACCAGGAAGAGGAGAAATTGGAGTACCCGATGTGGCGGCTTTCTCGCCTAAGTCGTAGAACCTCTACAGGCCTTGCCGACACCCCAAGCCCTAACAGCAGATGGGCGGCTGGGGAGTGGAAGGGGCGCGGCGAGTTCTGTAGGTCTTCTTGACTGAGGGACCTGTAATGGGGGTCTGACTAGCTAGCATATGATAAGATTCCCTTCTGATCCCTGTCAAGTACAATAGGCCCCAAGACCGTATTCGAATCATTAAGACTCCTGAGCCACCTACGGTTTGCCTCGAATTTAGGGTTTGGGGCTATGGTCACGGCCTTGAAGCGGAGTATTGCTCGGAGCAACCACAGTAATAAGCAGCAGGAAGTTCATGGTGCCACGGACGGTAAGTCACTTGACGACAGAAACTGACCATAGAGTCTCTGGCTGGAAGCAGAATTCTTAAGTTTGTACAGAATTGATGGCCCTTCAATGAACGGCAGGGTCCTTAAACCAACAGAAGTGGACGGAGGGGGATGCAGATTAATTTCACAGCAATACAATATCAAGTATAACTGTTAACATGAAGTGATAGTAACTGATAGTAATAAATACTGTCCATCAGTATCACCATCCTCATCACCATCGTCACCGTTACCTAGCAACAGGGTGTACTTAGACCGGGTCGGAAGGTACTGGTGCGAATGCATGGATCGAATCGGTGTTGCACACACTAGTAGCAAGCCGCGCCGAAGCTGCTGCAGCAGCAGCAGCAGCCGCATGCAGCTGCTAGGTAGCAGTAGCAGTAGTAGCTGTTTTTAGTCGTAGTCGACTCGTCTTGGCAGGTAGTCGCCAAAATGGCAGTAAATCAAGTGCCAACGCTGCAAAATGGTGAAAAATGAGACCGATAAATGCTGGCAGTAGCCGTTTTACCAGGCATCTCCTTACCACAGCGATCAGACTGTCCAGGGCGAGTCCTTCCTCGAGATTCTGCACTGAAACTTCTACTTTGCCAATATGTATTTTGCCTTCGCGTGTCGTGATGGTGTAAACTTGACAGATGACTGGAAAGCCTTCAGGAAAATCGTATGTGCGATCATTTCCCCACACTGAATCCGGAATGTAGAGCCTCAACAGCCGCAGACACCAACACCTGTTCACTCGTATGCGCGAGGCCTACCATTTTCCAAGTGCGAGCCCTCTGGGCGTTGGCTCCTACGGCACCGTTATGCTGGCCACGCACAGGAGGCGGATGATACGCCCTACCCAAATCTTGAACCATCCGTGAAATACGGTAGTGTAGCACGAACTCCGGCAGACTGCAGCTGTATTCTTCGTCTTGGGAACAGAGATCGGCATTTGGTCTTCCAAACCGTGGTCCATGAGCGACAGCTAAACCCGAAACCCTAAACCCTAAACTCTTTTGTTCAACGGCACCTAGCATGAAGCTGCCGGCAATCCGGAGACCTGACCCAACATAAGAGCCGAATAACTGATAAACGTATTTCCTGAAGCTCCTTGTTACCTATACTTATAGCATGATACATCCCAAAGCCATACATTTACTGTCATTAAAGGCCACTATATGGACTTCCCCTAAGGCCAATGTCAACCTTAAGAACCCAAAACCCACTTTTTTGTAGGTTCTTATTATAAACCCTAATTTGGGATTTATAGGGACCCTACAAAAAAGTAGGTTTTGGGTTCTTAAGGAATTACCTGACAGGACTGGCATCGAGAGGGCGGTCAAGCGCATAGACAAGCAGCGGTTCCTACCTGGTGAGGTGGAGGCCTATACTACTGGGAGACACCCTAAACCCTAAACCCTAATTATAAACCCTGAACCCTAATTATAAATCCTAGACCCTAATTATAAACCCTAAACCCTAATCACAAGCCCTAAACCCTAATCAAAAACCCTAAATGCTAAACCCTAATCACAAGCCCTAAACCCTAATCAAAAACCCTAAATGCTAAACCCTAATTACAAACCCTAAACTCTAACTATGAACCCTAACCAGTAATTAAACCTTAAACCCTAATTATGCTGACCTCTTCGCATGTTGAATTTAACTAGCACCAACTGGCCTAGCGAACGTGGAAGAAGAAACCCTAAACCCTGGACCCTAAACCAGAGAGGGCATTTTTTTCGGGAGTTCGGTTCACCCATAGGGTCCGGTGGAAGCTCCGGTGTTCATGGTTGAAGCTTTCGCTTTAGAGGCAGGTCCCCAAAGGCTCCATGTACCCATATAGTAGATACTTAGGCTTAAAAGGGGTCCCTATATAGGCACTTTAAGGCCTAAGTATCTACTATATGGGTACATGGAGCCTTTGGGGTCCTATGATCGGTTCAAAGACGTCTGCAAGGTTTCACGCGACACGTTGTGCGTTATCGATAGCTAGCCCTCAGGAGCAAGTACGACTCGCAGTAGACCTCCTGTTCTTTTAGCGCGCGGAGCTCTAAAAGTCGTCAGAGTCAAGAAAAATCCTACGTAACCCTTGTAAAAAAGGTTCCGACAGCAGAAGCCCTTCAAAGGCACGGCATACGGAAGAAGCAGGCCCCTCAACTACTCCTTGGGTCTGAAAATTCCCCCTGCGTTTTGGCAGCTCCCCTCATCAAGTCATCGTCACATTTTTGGTCTGCGTGCGACAATTTCGACAGGTTCACGGGGTTTGGGGTGATAAAGGCTTAGGGTTATCGGTTTTCAACGCGTCAGTTGATATGGTGGGACAGGCACTGAAGCTGATGGATCATCCGCACGTATGCCGCATGGTCGAGTGCCCTCTCGAATGCGGAGGGGCGGATTTCGCGGATTTTCGGGGTTTTCCACTGTCGAGGGGCTGCGGGAGTTTACCGGGCTTTCGTGAAGGGAAACCCAGAACCTTAACTTGGTTGGCAAATGCACCCCGATCTTCAGGGACACTGTGCGGGGTAGGCATGGTCCTCCCAGCTCTTGGGATCCATTATTATTATTAGTAGTAGTAGTAGTAGTATTATTATTATTATTATTCATTCCTCCGCGTGTTTTAGTTCCTCCAGGCACGTAAGCTATGGAGCTTGTCTTCAGGCGTGTGATGTGTTTGGAGCACAGATGCTGCTCATATGCTTCGAGAGTCGTGTAGAGTCGTACGTACCATTGGCAACTGTTGCCCTTTTGCGTTTAAATGCTACTTGCAGGAATGGGGCGTTTACTGTATCTGTTTGCACGATCACTGCAGTGAGAGATGGGGGCCGGTGCGTGTGCATATACATACATGCACCTATCGCATGCATACCTGCATACATGCATGCATACACACAAGCAGTGTCATGCACACGTTGCATACATACATACATACATACATGCATGCATGCATGCATGCATGCATGCATACATGCATACATACCTACATATGCCTACATACCTACCTACATACATACATACATACAGACATACAGACACAAGACTTACAGACATACCGGCATGCGGACATTCATTCATTCATACATACATACATACATACATACATACACACACACATGTACATATACATAGGCATATAAACATACACATCCATACATACATACATACATACATACATACATACATACATACATACATATACATACATACATACATACATGCGTACGTATGCACAGGCATACTTACTTGTTTGTCCTTATTTAATTACTTAATACGCAAACTCATTTACTCACAAAACGACAAGACTTACATGCTCACGTGCTTCATACTTACGTACATACTTACATATGTTTCCAGACATACACACGTACGTACGTACGTACGTACGTACGTACGTACGTACGTACGTACGTACGTACGTACGTGCGTGCGTGCGTGCGTGCGTGCGTGCGTGCGTACGTACGTACGTACGTACGT